AACCGGGCCGGTCCGGATTAATACCGATCTGGGCCGGTCCGGAAACGGGTCAACCCGGCCCATTTGTCACCTTTAGTTGAAAGTAGAATCATGTAGACCTCCTAAGGATTTATGTGGATTTTCTTAAAGTATTTGATTGTGAAGAAGTTCTAGGTTGATCTTGAGGAAGAAGACGTCTCTTGATCATTTCGGACTTGGAAAAGACATAATTTGATGTCTTGATCTCTTTGTGAATATCCCAAGAGTTTATGGGATTTTTGAGATTGATTAAGTGATAAAAATATATATGCAAGACATATATCTTGGTTTGATTGGTTTAGTGTAAATTAAACACTATACTAAATCCATCCTCATAATTTGTAAAACTAATGTGTACAACGCCCACAAATTAACTTAAAATTCAAAATTTGTACGCCCAATTAAGTTATGTACATAATACTGTAAATTTATGGTTAGCATTCCCTTATTTGAACTTGGTGGGCATTTTTTCCAACCTTAGTAAAATAGGGGGTGGGTTTGGCTTGAACATAAGCTCAAACAGAATTTGAAGGGTCCTAGCTATGCCATGCGTTTAATACTTCTTATTCTTATTCTTTCTTAGTTGAAGTTCCTATATTGATTTTTTCTTTCTTTTATGAATATTATAACTCCTAATTCTTTGGTAGCGGACCATAATTGCAATTAAAATGTTTAATTTGGTTAGTCCTAGCTAATTGGCAGGAGAGACATCCCCATATGAAGAGCAAGTTTATCGCCGTTCAAAGTGAGATCATGGAAAGTTGATGTATGAATTTGTAGGCCTAACTTGCTGCTGATTTTCATCATTGGCTTATCCAAATTAGAGAGTTGCCATTTTTTCTTGAAATTTGGTCATTAACTATAAGATGATTATAAATAAGTACAACAGATCGAATATGTTGATATTATCCGCAGTTTAATCTCGGATAAATAAGAAGAGTTGTGATCGACTGCGACTTAATTAGCTAAAAGTCATTTAAGATGAACAATATGTGGATCCATATAATGACCCCGAGCTCGAGAATGAGCATAAAAATGCATGTATAGGCTTATACATTTTTCGGTTGTTTTTCTTTTTATTATTGTTGTGCTTATGCTTTACTGAGCCAACAGTCTATTGTAAACAACCACTTTATCTCTACGAGGTCTACGCACACATTATACTCTCCACACTCCACTATGTGGGATTATATCGGGTATGTTGTTGTATGAAAAAAAACATTTAAAATTAAATAAAAATAGAATAACAATTTCATATTGTTAACCATACTTGTAACAACAATAGCTTCACATTAGGGAACAGCTAGCTTGGGGAGCTAAATCAACTGTTTTCAATCAATCATTGGACATATATATGCTGAAAGGTCGATCACACATTCCTTGTGACTGCCAAGTTGGATGATGCAGTTACTCACAGAGTAGTGCATAGAAAGAAATTCACCATCCAACAAATTAATTATATAAAAAAAATATAAATTTTGTTCTTACCATAATATACCTCAGCAATCTTTACCAATTTATAGTACAAAAATAGAAATTTTATCTTGTTGCTTGAATATTAAGTATTCAATTTAAGTGAAATATTACAACTATAACATGCATTTTGGTTTTCAAATTCAAAATCGTTAGAACAAAAGAAGCCCGGCTGGATATTGAGATGCAATGGAGGCATGAGAATAAGATGGTCCTTTATCGAACAACATTAAGACAAAAAAAAAAATACTCTTCTTTGTTTTTCTTGATATTCTAGATGTCAATTAGTGCATCAAATAGCATTGTGGTGACAAAGAAAATTTATTTTTACAGAAGCTCATCATTTTTGACCCTTTTCCTTATGACATTCAGAAGATTCTTGAAAGAATATTCGAATAATTAAAGGATTCTGCAATTAAATTTTAATCTGTTTCTTTTTTTTTTCATTCAGGTTTTATAATACGAAGCATTAGCTAGGTAAATATCCAAATTCCAAAACATAAAATTATTTGGCTATGGACCAATCCCACCCCCCTCTCTCTCTCTCTCCTTTTTTCTGATGTTTGCGTTAATTGTAGAGGTTAGGAAATGCAGAACATATTTCACAACAATTTTGTTAAAGTAGATAATCATTAATTATCTATGGTTGATGGCCTACCTACACTAGTTAAGTCGTTGAACTATAAAATCCTATAGCCGTGAATTTGGCTGAGTGTCTAACTCTAACCTCGAGGGTACCGAAGAGGACTGATTAGTTTGTTGAACCGTATGACAATCTCATCTAAAAGCTTACAGTATTAGAGAAAAATAGTATGACAAACTCATCTAAAAATTTAAAGTATTAGAGAGAACACGCTTATATTTATGGTACGTACTTAATTATGTCTTCCACATAGTTAGTATTCTCATTCCATAATCCTGATCATCTCATTGCTTCTGATCTGTAAGATAATAATCTCATAGTTAGACAATGCAAGAAATCAATCAAAGAAGAAGAAAATGGTAGTCTTTTCCTACTTGATTAGAAGTAATGTTTGTAACTTAATGAGAGTAGTTAGTCCTCTCAACTTAGAAGTAGATTTTAATTAATACTTTATATATATCTTTGAACATTCGAGTAACTAAGCCCCATACAAGTAACTCTCTTTTGTAAATGGATCAATTTGGAAAGAGTTTGAATCCGTTCTAACTCTAAAATTTATAGGATATGAGAAGGTACGGCACGACGCCCCCTCCGTATAGTATATGTTTATGTTCAAAGCTAGATTAATAAATGAGAAAGTTCGTCCTCTCTATGTTTCAAGCTAACTGATGCTTCCTATACGTAACAGTGCTGTAGCACCTTGAACTCTACTAACTCTGGGAAACAAGCTAACTTAATTGTCTTTATTTCACAATAATTCATTGAGGGCACGTCACCAACAAATTAAAACTCAAACATCTGAGGATGAGTATCGCATAGTGATTTGCGTATTAATTTTGGTCACACAATATATAATTAGGATTTAATATGCTTGTCTTTGTTTCACAGGAATTCTTTGTGTGCTGGTAAGTCGGTAACCAAGAGAACCTCTAAAACATCTGAGAGTGAGTTGCTTATGAGTATCATGCACATTTAGGAGCGGCAATTTGAGCCCAAACCCATTCAACCCGTCTGATAATGACCCGCTATTTGTTAAAGAGAAAACTACCCTCTATAATCCTTCAAAATTTTAATAGCCCATGTTTTTCCTCATTGACACGAAATGGCCATCCGGCCCAAACATATTACATCTAATAGCCCGAAATGTCTATTTTGTATATTTTTTGTATAGTGACAGACTATTTTGTATATTTTTTGTATAGTGACAGTCTATTTAGTATATATTTTGTATAGTGACAGTTTATTTTGTATTTATTTTGTATAGTGACAGTGTATTGTATATAAATTGTATAGTGACAGTCTATTTAGTATATATTTTGTATAGTGACACTTGAAAAATCAGATCAATGGGCTAAAATGCACTGATATGATATTTGTTTTACAATATATATATATAAGTTAAATAATGTGTAATCAGATACTCAGAAGCCCAAGTCTACTTTACCACTGTTATCTTCCAAATTCTAGGTCCTTATGCCTCCAACTACTTGTTAGGTCGGGTTGAACGCTAGCTTACTTGCAAATTAACCCGTTGTTGTGGGTGTTCAATGGGTAGGATGATATGATCATAATAAACCTGTTAACCAAGTTAAATCAATGAGGAAATTAACCCATTTGTGAACTATTCTATAATACACAGTTAAGAAAGTTCTCAGTTTTTTTTTCCTCATAAAGATTCTTATTTAGGAACCAATTCTAGAGTACCTAATTCTTTAACAAAATACATAAGCTAATTAGACTATTACGATGTCTTTACAAATGTAAGTCAGAACCCGATAAGGTATGAAACCCTTCCATCCCGAAAGCGGCTCCCTCCATTACAACGTCCTCCAGTTTGCCAAGTACACATTTATGTTTATCACACCTGTCCATTTCCAGATCTGAGGGTTCAATATTTGCTTTAAATAAAATCACCCCTTAAATCATGGTTAACAAAAAAAATCTTTCTGGATCGGTACCAATTTGACAATGATAAATCAAGCATCCCAAAAAACCACTAGAAAATTTCTTTTGGTTGGAGAAAATATTTTCTTACCATGAAAATCATACGCCCAAGAGATAAACGGACCAAGGATTTGGAAGTACTATTCGTTGGGTCTGTATTACGGCCTGCCAAATTGTAAATTAGATAATTATGAATACGTGAGTTGGATATACTCCAAAATATAGTATGAGACTATGAATACAGATGGGGTCTGATTTAGACGCAGCAACGTAGTCTCTAGATCCACCACTGCATGGTGAATGAATTAACATATAATATGAACCTTTTCAATTTGGTGAATTATTATCTTGATAATATTCTGATTATAGTTTTCATTCTTTAATTAATTATAGGTGGCAGAGTAAGGAGAAGGTATGGATTAAAGTAGGCTACGGAGTTGAAAAGTTTGAAATTTGAAGGAGGAAGAGTGACAGTGATTTTGGGCTAGCTCTTGTAATTGGTTTTGAGCTATTAATTGTATGATTTATTTTGTGGCTACATATTGCCATTAGTTTTCCCCGGATGACTACAAATGAAGTTTGTTCTTTGTTAAACTCAGCTCATCTTGACTCGGCCCATATTAGCCAATTTAAAGTTGAGTTGATTTTTAGCCCAAATTCATCCATGAGTAACTTTACTAAAATATCTTAAATTAAACAATTCATAAGAAAATAACATACATTAATTAAAGCTTGGTAAGAGTTGGGGGTTGGGCTATAACCCAAATTTTAACCCATCTTTACCCGTCTATCACAGCCCAAGCAATGACCCACCCATTTATAATTTATTGACTCGGCCATTTTGACCCGCCCATTTGACACCTATGCACACATTGAATTTCGTATTTTATCGGTCATATACATACTACGAGGTAAAGAATATACATCAAAACCGCCGAATTCAGAAAAGCGCTACTTTTGAAAGCTTATGTGATTAACCTACGGCATAAGGGAAAGAATACATACAGATTGTAATTCGAAACTAAAAGGTTGAATTGTACTTTTGTAGTAACAAAATTTGAGCGTGACACTGAGTTCCCGCCGAAATACATAAAATTCCTTGTTTGGTTCTGAGCCAGAGCAACCAAATTAACCTCCACAGTTTAAGCTGATAAACATTATCATCACTTTCTCTAAAATAGGCAAGATCTTTTTTCCTTTTTTGTTTCCAATCATCCACCAAATACCTGTTATTTTCCAACATCGTAAATGCTCGGTAATTTTGCTCTCCAAAGCTCAGATAAATGGGAAGAATTTCCTTAGTGTTACCTCTACTGAAACTTGAACTTTTGTTTCCCAGGGTTATCCCAGTTCTTCGATTTCTCAACCATGTAAGATCTAGTACCTTTTAACAGACTATTCTTGGATTTCAAACCATAATGCTTAGAAAGGTAAGTAGCAATTGATTGGATCAGCTGCTCAACTGCATATTACATATTTCTTTTACTTATATATGTAATGTTTGGCGTGCAAAAATGCATCCCAACAACAATCAGACAAATGATGTCTTAAAGTTTCTTGTAACGAATTGTGCACGATCCGTGTGTAATATACTTCACTATACTAAAATGTTTGGTGCAAAAGAAATCGTTCCAAACCTTATCAGGAGAAAAGGCAGAGCTTCTAAATAATTCATGCCATTTAAGTCGAGAAGTGATATCTGAGGTCAACTTGACAAATTTCATTTCCAGATTAGGCTGCCAATTTCATTGCACCATTCAAACTATGAGGGGCTCACTTCCGTTTGAGAAGGTCTCTGTACCAATTGAATGAAGTGTCAGTTGCTCAACCATCGCATATATGTCTTTACTTCTTGGATGCGCTTTGTCACCCTTCTTAAATTCAGAAACCACACCATCAAGTTCAATTAAGCTACATCCAGGAACTTTCTTTATTTTCTGTCTCTTCATTGCCCTTCTTACTTTTAAAGCGTCTCTCCATTTACTGACTGAAGCATATGTGTTTGACATCAGTATGTATGTACCGTCTTTTTCAGACTCTATATTGACAAGTTTTTCAGTCACATGCTCAGCGAGTTCAACTCTTCCTTGGATCCTGCATGCTGCTAATACTGATCCCCAAATAGAAGCATCAGGTTCAATTGGCATGTTTTTCACGAACTCTACTGCTTCATCTGTCAACCCTGCACGACTCAACAGATCAACCATGCAACCATAGTGTTCTATTTGAGGTTTTAATTTGTGCACTCTCCACATATCTGCAAAAAGCTTATGGCCCTCTTCAATCAATCCTCCATGACTACAAGCTGTGAGAACACCCACGAACGTGACCCCATTTGGTTGTATGCCAATTTCGAGCATCTTATAGAAGAAATTAAGTGCTATCCGCGCCTTACCATGTGTGGCCAACCCAACTATCACAGATGTGTATGAATAAACATCTTTAGAATTCATACTTCCGAAAACTCTAAGGGCGTCGTCCATGCTTCCACATTTTGCATACATATCTACAAGCGCATTGCCAACATACCCTGCTACTTGTATCTGATTTCGGTCTATATATGTGTGCACCCATTTCCCAACTTCTAGTGCCCCTAAATTGCTGCAGGAATTAAGAACACCAACTAAAGTATTCTTATCAGGCTTTACTCCTTGATCCTGCATTTCATTAAATGCATTCAAGGCCTGTTTAAACTCCCTTCTCTGAGCCAATCCAGATATTAATGTATTCCAAGAGATCACATTTCTCGTTGGCATCTCTCGGAAAACATTAAGAGCAATATCGGTTTCACCACATTTTAAGTACATATCCATCAATGCATTCCCAATAAACACATCAAAATTTAACTTATGACTCTGCACATATTTGTGTAACTTCTGGCCCAATCTCAGATCCTCTAATTTAGCACAAGAGGATATCACAACGACCATCATCCTTTCGTCAGCCCTTAATCCATCTTCAATCATTTCAAAGAACAACTCAACTCCTTCCTTCAAATACCCGTTGTCCACATACCCCTGAATCAAAGTAGTCCAAGATACCAAATCTCTCTCAGGACTTCTATCGAACACCTTCCTCACACTCCCAACGCACCCACAAACACCATACAAACGAATCAAATTGTTCATCACATACAAATCCAACGCAAACCCAGTTTTTATCACATGGGAATGAACCAATCTGCCATGTCTGAGCTCACGTAACTGTACACATGCGTTAAGAACAAGAGGGTACGTATATTTATCCAAAACTAAGCCTTTACACATCATTTCAACATGCATTAGTAATGCAAGTAAAGCATTTTCTTTGCACTTAGAACTTAAAAGACATCTCATTAAGGAGTTAAAAAGATTGATATCTATGTCCTGTATTTGACTGAAAAGAGAGTGGACATAGCTAAATTCCTTAGAGGGTATTGGGGAAGAACATAAAGAGATGATTTTAGTGTAAAGGAGTTGTCGAGGGTGCTGTACGGAGCTAATTTTAATGATTAAAGATTGGTTTTTTTTTATTTCTTTGGTTGAGTTGCAAGTCTGGAGTTTGTGAGACACAGAAGGATCTTGAGAATTGGCATTGCTACTAACATTTAAGGATGTAACAGAAAGTGTAATGTGGCAAGCCATGATAGTAATAACATTTGATTTTCTTGTTCAAGAAAACATACAGCGAGTACCAAGGATTGAGATGTTGAGCTCCATAAATTGTACTACTACTAACTGTTAACAGTAAGTGGGACTTAAGTGAATCTTACCGAACTCTGGCGGGAAGAAACATCGAACAGATATTTTTACATGGATAGACGGCCTATCATAATATGTGGCTGAAATTGACATGATGTTAGTGGGGTAGGTATGGTCTATTCGGTTCAATTGTAAATATTATCGGTTCGGTCGATTATCGATTTTAAATATGAAATCGATAACTGATATCGGTTATCGGGTATTGATTAGTCGATTAACATCATTATCGGTTTACCCGACAAAATAACTCAATCTAAAGTGAAGATGCTTTTTGTGTAATGCTGCGTAAAGATGAAAATTTTAAAACAGAACATTCTTAACCAATTACCAGTTAGTAAAAAGTGCACATCTATTCTTACTAACTATCTCAATTCTCAAAATCAACAAAAGAAAAAGGTTACTAGGAGTAATTAATAAGACATTCAACAGTCTAAATCTTACTAACTATCTTAGTAACGAGCGGACATAATTCACAAGAAATTGATAAAATTCTAATTTTGTAAATGCTAAAGAATTAGTGCGACAAAGAAGAAATAAAACTAAAAGTCTGAACTGAAGCATGAAGATGAGGAAAGAAAAGTTTATCACTTATCATAAGAAGTAAGGTAAAACGAAGAGTGATGGCTGAGAGAATTCAGAGAATGAAGCTCTAAGGTGGCTTTACATACCTAAGGGGAAAATTATAATTTTGATAAAGTTTGTTGGGTTATCGGTTAAACCGTTAATAAAATTAGGCAGATCAAGACCCGAACCGATAACTCAATAGTCAAATAACACTAACTTGTTACGGAACTATTAACTCAATAACTCGGTACCAATAACCCAATAGCATTTTTCGGTTCGAACAATCGGTTTTACCGGATATATACCCGGCCCTAGATGTTACTTCCTAAACTAGCTTCTCCACTAATACTTTAAATATTTCTTTCACAATCACTAATATAATAGACAAATCTACTTGATATTTTAAACATCAAATCGTTGCAAATTGAAAATAGGAGTTTTTTTCTGTTGAGGATGATTCATCATATCTACCCAAAATTATCAGACATGTCGAATATAATGTCATATAGATATTAATGGAGCAAAATAAATTAAAATTGAACCTCTTGAACAGTCTCTTAAAGGAAAAGGGATAGCATTTGAGTGTTCGTCCCACTCAATTTCGTGATCCATTTACTTAGACCCCGATTGTGAATGTAAAAGTTACTCCAAAAGAAAGTCTCACACATAAAGATAATGTTTAGTTCTTTTGAATAATGTTCAGAACAAAAGCAAACTTCTAAATACCTTTTCGACAATAATAAGATCAAAAAGTACAGCTAACAATTTAATTTTTTGAAGAAAAAAGAATAAAATTTGAAAACAACCAAAAACAAGAAGAGCCGAAGGTCTATCTGAAACAACCTTTCTGCCTTCAAGGTAGGGGTAAAGTCTGCATACACACTACCTTCCCCAAACCCCGTTGTAATTTTTCTTGTTGTTGTTGCCTTTTAAAGTAAGGCTCTGAACTTCCATTACCTTGTACCAGTTACCCACAGCCATTACATCTCTACCAATTATTCATTTTGCCATCAGAAAGCGGTTGAGTCAAGTATAAGCAAAGCAAAAGTCTAACCTTGAATGCACATAAACTCATCGGTCTCACTTTAAAAGCACAGAATAGAAGAATGAAAGTTACAAGAGAAGTTGAGAAATCACTCAATTAGGCACTATGATATCCAAGAAACTACCC